CTGGCACCCAGTACCCCAGGGAAATCTCAAACGTGAAAGCCCCAGACCACCACCACCTCCTGAAAGTGATCAAAGCCATCTTCCTAATTTCCTTAAATGCAGTGTTGAGAGTAGTGAGTGGCTTAAAGCCAGGGATTTGATTATGCTAATTATACCCTTGAAGAGCCCAGCGCTGAAGTCTTGTAGCTTGAAAAGAATTCTGGCAGCTGGGTTCACTTGGAAAAGAAAGGAAATGTGGAATCTAAGAGCGGCAGGAAGTGGGATGGTGGGCGGATTCAAGAAAAAGGAAGTTTTTGAAAGTTGAAAAAATAAAGGAAATTCATTCACATTAAAACAACAAAAGGATATCCTTTCACCAATCAGATGAGCAAAAACAAAACACTGGATATTGCCCAGCCTTGACAAGGCAAAGAGTAACAGGAGCTTAAACTCACCAAAATGACAAGGCATAGCTTTTTCCAAGACAATGGCAGATTCCATAAAACTTCAAAACTTGCATAAACTTCTACCCTCTCAACTCTATTTCTAGGACCCATCTTTCCTACAGACATACACGTGCACAAATATATATGGAGAAAGGTGTGCTTGAAACAGACACAAAATAGATGGAAACAATTAAATGCCCATTAACAAAGGAATGGATAATATGCTGTTGAAATATTAAATATATCTCTTTTTAAAAATGAAGATTTCCTTGTGTGCACAAGACCCATTTATAATATAAGTATTATTAAAAAGAAAGGAAATGGTCTTGGGGGAAAAAATCAGAATCATAAATCCTGAATGTGAACTTTAGACCTTTAATACATTTTGTTAGACATGAGTTCTAAATTTCTTTTCAAAGAATCAGTATGTCGTATGTTCAATTCTTTGCCTTCTACTTTTAAACTAAACTTCCTCATAAAGCAACCTTTTCCGATTACCTGTTCCACCCTGACTCATTCCGATTACCTGCTACCTGCTCTGCCCTGACTCATTCTCCACCCTGCATTACCATTTTTCCCGCCAAACCACTCACACCATCACTCTCCTTAAATTAGCCAATCGGAATTAGTTTAGCCTGTGAGGTCTAACCCTAGCCAACAGGGGAAAGACACAGCAGCAGGGGCCACATGTGTCAGGGATAAGAACCCCTTCCCCTCCCTTGTCCAAGTGTGCACTCACCATTGCTCCATCTGTAAGGGCGCACTCTTCTATAGAAGTAACTTGCCTTGCTGAGAATTAAAAAGAAAATTTTATATTCGAGTGCTATTTCTTTCGTAGCATCGAAACTTTAATTATAACAATTTCAAGTGGCCCAGGCTTCCAAAAGTGTTTCTAATGTAGTTGTTTCCTATACCTCAGGTATCCAGAGAGCAAACACTATGGGAAATACTGATGTCGCTCAATACTCACCAAAGATGAAAATGAGTTCATTTCCTTAACCGCCTAGTTGAAATGGTCTTTAAACTAGGCCCTATTTACTTGCCAGGAACCTATGTTACAGCAGCACCCAGACGCAAAAGGAACACATATTAGCCATAATTCCCTCAAACATCATCAACCATGGTGATGTTACAGGAAAGGGGTCCTGATCCAGACACCAAGAAAGGGTTCTTGGATCTTGCATAACAAGGAATTCAGGGTGAGTCCATAAAGTGAAAGCAAGTTTATCAGGAAAGTAAAGGAACAAAAGAATGGCTAATCCATAAACACAGCAGCCCCAAGGGCTGCTGGTTGCCAGTTTTTGTGGTTATTTCTTGATGATATGCTAAACAAGGGGTAGATTATTCATGCCTCCCCTTTTTAGACCACATAGGGTAACTTCCTGAGGTTGCCATGGCATTTGTAAACTGTCATGGCGCTAGTGGGAGTGTAGCAGTGAGGACGACCAGAGGTCACTCTCATCGCCATCTTGGTTTCAGTGGGTTTTGGCCGGCTTCTTTACTGCAAGCTGTTTTATCAGCAAAGTCTTTATGACCTGTATCTTGTGCTGACCTCCTGTCTCATCCTGTGACTGAGAATGCCTAACCATCTGGGAATGCAGCCCAACAGGTTTCAGCCTTATTTCACCCAGGTCCTATTTAAGATGGAGTTATTCTACTTCAAATGTCTCCGACAGTGAGAAGATCTCTGCCAGAGCTGGAACTAAAGAAGAGTGCCAGGAATTGTGTTACTGTCACACACGTCCATGTGGAGAGAGTCCACCAAACAGGCTTTGTATGAGCAACAAGGCTGTTTGTTTCACCTGGGTGCAGGCGGGCTGAGTCCGAAAAAGGAGTCAGCAAAGGTTGATGGGATTATCATTAGTTCTTACAGGTTTGGGATAGACATACAAAGTACATTCTCAAGGGCGGGGAGAATATTACAAAGCACCTTCTTAAGGGTGGGGGAGAATATTACAAAGTACCTTATTAAGGGCGGGGGAGAATATCAGTTAGGGTGGGGCGGGAGCAAATCACAGTGGTGGATTGTCATCAGTTAAGACTATTTTCACTTCTTTTGTGGATTTTCAGTTGCTTCAGGCCATCTGGATGCATACCTGCAGGTCACAGAGGATAGATGGCTTAGCTTGGGCTCAGGGGCCTGACATTACCACTTATGCAGCCCATAGCCTGGTGTTCACCAAAAGGGCCAGTCAAAAATTTCTACCATACTTGAAGCTCTTGAAAACCACATATGTGCACAGTATATGCAAGATAAGTATTTATAGTAAATGTATATACCTTCTATTCTGAATAATACACTCTATTTCAGTGATGGTCTATTAAGTATTTAGAAATGACACTGGATACATAAAATGGAAAGTATCCTGAAGAAACAATGGTTATCACAAGGTCTCCCACTTTGTTATCCAGAACAGCTTGTACTTTTTTAGGAATGAAATTTTAAAGACATTGTTCTGTGAGTTCAAGAAATGGTCTTTTCCATACCAGGTTTATGAGCTATTCTGCTTATAAACTACTCTGGCTGTGTCCACTTCTCTTGGATCTTCAGAAACATCTCACAGTTCAATGAAAGATAGTTTATACCCAAAATAAACACACTTGCTATGTTATAAATAAAAAAAGAAAGTAAATGCAAAACTACATATAGGCAGATGTATATGTGTGCAAATGCATAGAAAAAACTTTCAAGAATACACTCTAAACTGTTAAAAAGCGGGCACCTCTGGAGAGAGAGGAAGTAGAACTTGAACTTCGTAGGCCATTTGCAGTGATTTACGCCTGTAATCCCAGCACTATGGGAGGCCGAGGCAGGCGGATCACCTGAGGTTGGGAGTCCAAGACCAGCCTGATCAACATGGAGAAACACCATCTCTACTAAAAAAAAAAAATACAAAAAATTAGCCGGGTGTGGTGGCGCATGCCTGTAATCCCAGTTACTTGGGAGGCTGAGGCAGAATCACTTGAATCTGGGAGGCGGCGGTTGCAGTGAGCTGAGATCCCACCATTGCACTCCAACCTGGGCAACAAGAGTGAAACTCTGTCTCAAAAAAAAAAACAACAATAATAACAACAGAACTTGAACTTCATATTCTATGCAAAAAAGGAAAAAAATCTAAGAGAGAAAAAAAGAATACATGAGGAATATGGTTTCTCAATTTAAAAACCTCCCCCTTCCAACACCATCTTCCATCCCTGTCATTCTTTTTTTTTTTTTTTTTTTTTTTTTTTTTTGAAGCAGAGTCTGGCTCTGTCATCCAGGCTGGAGTACAATAGCGCAATCTTGGCTCCCTGTAACCTCTGCCTCCCAGATTCAAGCAATTCTCCTGCCTCAGCCTCCCAAGTATCTGGGATTACAGGCATGCGCCACCACACCCAGCTAATTTTTGTATTTTTAGTAGAGATGGGGTTTCGCCATGTTGACCAGGCTGGTCTTGAACACCTGACTTCAAGTGATCCGCCCGCCTCAGCTTCCCAAAGTGCTGGAATTACAGGTGTGAGCCACCGCACCCGCCCCATCCCTGTCATTCTTAAGAAGAAGATAGATTTAGGTCCTAATTTTAACTATTCAGAAAGCTTTTAGATGTATGCCTTGCTTAGGCTTCTCTGGCAACTCCCCAAGCCTGCATCAGCTTAGCATCTAATCCATTAAGGTCTCCCCATGGGGCTGAGGTCCCTGTCACAGGGTGTCCTAAATACAGAGAAAGTCTAGGCAAAATTTACACGTGACACAGTTATGGTCTTACACAATCTTCCACCTTTGTCTTTTTGTAAACCTTGATTTATTTTGCTTCCTTTGGCACATATCTCCCCTTCCAGATATTTTTGCAGTGGATATTGTATTCTTTAAGCCTTTCTTGATTGTGAGTGAGAGAAACTAAATTAGCAAAAGGTGGAATTCATTATAAGCATTCAATAAACGTTTGCTGTTGCTGCTGCCCGGCTGTTGTTAGTGAAGGCAGGATTTGCCTGGGTTTGGGGAACAGCTGGATCCAGGAATTTGTACATTCTCAAGAAATTTCTTAATCTCTATCTGCTGCTTCTCTCTGCTCCTGTTTCAGTGAAGTCCCTTTCACTTGTGAGACTCAAGTCAAACCAAGTTTAGCAAACAAAAGTGGGGAGGAAATACTGGCTCAGATAACTGAAAACCCCAGAGGCTAGCTTCAGAAACTACTTCATATTGACGCTAAAACTATGTAAATTACATAATCACCCAGGAAGCGAGGGCGTGCAGCCAGATCTATCGAACGAAATGAACACAGAGTGGGAAAAGACTCATCCCTGCAAAGGTAAATCTGGGTTTTGTCACCCAAAAATGGTAGAAATAACACACACACCTCAGTCTTCTCTCTGTTCTCTTCTTTCTCTCTCCAACTCTCCCTCTCTCATTTTGCCCTCTCTTGCTTGGAAACTGGCTTCTTCTGGCATTCTCATCTTTATGATAGGAAATAATGTCTGCCAAGAGATCCCAAATCCCAAATTAGCCTGACTCTCTCCATTTCAAGCCCAAAAGACTCAGTGAAGGGTCTGGTATCAGTTATCTACTGCTGCACAATGAATTACCCAAAAACGGAAAGGCTTACAAGACCATTTATTATCTCACTTCGTGTCTTGCAGGTCAGGAATCCAGGGGCAGCTTAGCTGGGTGAGTATGGCTCAGTGTCTCCCATGCCAGAAATCATCTTCTGAAAAAAAAAAAAAAAAAGAAGAATTATGCGACCCCAAACTCACTATGCCAAAGGGAAAGTTAAGCTTGGGAACTGAGCCACCACTACTGTCTTCCTTTTGTTCCCAAACAGACAGCTGTGATTTCACAACCCAAATCATGACCTCATTTCCTCTACTCCCTCTTTTCATGTTTATCGTATGTAAAATATAGATTTACTGAGGGAGATAATACATAATTGACTTTTTCCTCTACTCCCTCTTTTCACATGTACAATGTTGATTGATTGATTGATTGATTGATTTTTTTGAGACAGAGTCTTGCTCTGTTGCCCAGGCTGTAGTGCAATGGTGCAATCTTGAAAGGCCCACTGCAACCTCCACCTCCAAGGTTCAAGCAATTCTTCTGCCTCCACCTCCTGAGTAGCTGGGATTACAGCTACACACCAGATAAGTTTTGTATTTTTAGTAGAGACGTGGTTTTGCCATGTTGGCCAGGCTGGTCTGGAGCCTCAAGTGATCCAACTGCCTCAGCCTCCCAAAGTGCTGGGATTACAGGCATGAGTCACTGTGCCCCGCCTAAAGTTTAGATTTATTGAGACTAATCAGGGCCTCACAAGAATGTAACCATCTACCTCACTGCATATCTCCCTCGCTTCCTCCTGTCTCCCACTCCTTGCTCTTTCTCCTTTAAATACCAGAGTGCATACAAAGTCCCCTTTGGAGAAAAGCAGAGATCACAGATGCTCCTGTGATTTCTGTTTTTCCTGGTTGCATCCTCAACCTTAGCTAAATAAACCTCTAATGGCCTCAGTCACTTTTTGGTTAACAATTAGAATGCTGTTAACTGGGGCTGGGGAATCCACTTCCAGAAGAAGTCACTTACGTGGCTGTAAAGCTCCTGCTAGCGAAGGCAGATCCTCTCCATGTGGGCCTCTCCACAGAAGGCTGGAGCCTCTGCACAACAAGGCAGTTGGCTTCACCTGAAGGGAGTGATCTGGGAGAGAGAACATTGCCTGAAACCGATTTGGATTGAAAAGAATAAATAAATCAATATTTAAATATTTTTGTAAAAGACAGAAAACATCTGGCAGAAACTATCCCTCTTATGATCAGCCTCAGACATCACATACCATCATTCTATTAAGTTAAAGCAAGTCCCTAAGTTCAGCCCACGTTTTTTTTTTTTTTTTTTTTTGAATCTTTGTATGTATTTATTGCTTGATATAATAAAACATTTTCATTTTTAAAAAATGGTCCTGAATGGATACAGTTTCGGCGTGTTAGAAGCACAAAAGGTGTTTGGTCAGGATAAGATCATCATAGCCAGGAGTATTAATGAAGGAGTTAATGAGGTTCAGACCCTTCATGCCTGTGAAGATGGAAGAATAAAGTACGTTCCTCATGGGGAACAAATCAAGCATGTTGCATACAAGAATAATGTTGCCTAAAGATCAGCCCAGCTGCTGTGCAGAACTCAACTATTTGGGAGACAAGAGTGGAAGCAAGGCCCCAGTGAAGGACCACAGGTTGAGGGAGAGGGAAACAAGAGTCTTCCAATCTCAATGAAATGCACCATCATCCTCTCATGGTGCAGCCCCATGCTATTCCCCTCCCTGTTGCCATGGCCTCTCTCCAGCCCCTCCGTGCCTTTTACATCATCTTCCTGCCGTCCCCATGCTGAGGACTGTCAGCCCACGTTTTATGAAAGGGAGAGCTTCACTTTTTGAAGGAAGGAGTATCAAAGAACCTGTGAATATGTTACAGGATCCCACCGCTTACCCAAAGTCAGTGGTTTGCGCACTATAGTCCCTTCTGGGACGCCAGAAATATGTTACAGGAAAGCGGTCCCAGTACAGACCCCAAGAGAGGGTTCTTGGATCTCGTGCAAGAAAGAATTCAGGGTGAGTCTGCAGTGCAAAGTAAAAGCAAAGAAAGTAAAGTGGTGAAAGGACAGCTACTCCATAGACAGAGTAGGATGTTCCTGAAAGTAAGAGGAGGAACACATCCCCGCTAGGTACAATGCTTGTATATATGGGGAGATGTGCTCTAAGGGTTTGTGACAGAGGATCAATTTTCTTAATAACTATATTTTGCAAGAATCTATATTACTATCTTTAAAGCAAAATTAGAAATGCCTATGTTCTCCAGATATCAGGATATATGGACACTCCCAAGTCTGGATCTGTTTAGTAAACATTATTAATTTGTTCCCTTAACCGTAAACATCTAGAGGCTCAGAATGCCAAACTTCCTGAGGATGCAGACCAGCAGGTCCCAGCCTCATTTTCCAGCCCTCACTCAAGATGGAGTCACTCTGATTCAAACGCCTCTCACAGATATATTTTCAAACCAACACAGGACTAATTAGTCTTGGTTGGGTCAAGTGTTTTCCTTTAAACCAATCAACTGTGACCAGAGGCAGGGTTATACTATAACAATGACTACTCCCTCTACAATCTTGCAGATTTAAGTAGAAAAAAAGATTTCTAGAAAGGTGGATGCACAAACAGAGAAAAAGAACTCTTTTCCTCCAGCTCCAGAAAGAAAAATCCCAGAGGAGGATTCTGATGGGCTCAGCTTGCATCATATGCCTCTTCCAAGAGCCATCGATCACTGTGGTCAGGGGCGGATGTAATGCTGAAATACGAGAATGCAGGGGGATTTCAGGTGGCCACTCATGATCGTCTCCACGGTGTACTTCAACCATGCCACTTCATCTTTTTATGTCTTAGTCTCAGCATCTGCTAAATAGAGATTAGAAAGCCTTGTACATAGAGTTGTTATGACTATTAAATTAGATGATATCTGTGAAGCACAATGTCTAGCTACAAAAAAAAGCCTATTAAGATTCTTAAGTACTTAAAATTCATCTCAAAATGACATTTTTTATTTTTATTTATTTATTTTTTTGTGTGATGGAGTCTCGCACTGTCACCCACACTGGAGTACGGTGACACAATCTTGGCTCACTACAACCTCCACCTCCCAGGTTCAAGTGATTCTCCTGCCTCAGGCTTCCTAGTAGATGGGATTACAGGCGCCTGCCACCTCGCACAGCTAATTTTTTTGTGTGTGTATTTTTAGTAGAGATGGGGTTTCACCATATTGGCCAGGCTGGTCTCAAACTCCTGACCTTGTGATCTGCCCACCTCAGCTTCTCAAAGTACTGGAATTATAGGCGTGAACCACTGCACCTGTCCTATTTTCATTTTTTTATTTTATTTTTTGAGAAGCGTCTCTCTGCCACCCAGGTTGGAGTACAGTGGCGCAATCGCAGCTCACTGCAACCTCTGCCTCCCAGGTTCAAGCCATTCTCCTGCCTCAGCCTCCTGAGTAGCTGGGACTACAGATGCACAGCACCACACCCGGCTAATTTTTGTAATTATTATAATTTTTTTTTTTTTTTTTTTTTTTTTTTTTGAGACAGAGTCTCGCTGTGTCACCCAGGCTGGAGTGCAGTGGCACGATTTCGGCTCACTACAACCTCCGCCTCCCGGGTTCAAGCAATTCTCCTGCCTCAGCCTCCTGAGTAGCTGGGATTATAGGCAGGTACCACTATGCCTAATTTATTATATTTTTAGTAGAGATGGGGTTTCACCATGTTGGCCAGGCTGGTCACGAACTCCTGACCTCAAGTGATTCGCCCGCCTCAGCCTCCTAAAGTGCTGGGATTACAGGTGTGAGCCACCGTGCCTGGTCACAAATTGGCATTTTTTTAAAAAGCAATTTATAATTGGAAAGTCTCAGGGCTCACTCTTCATTTCTAATTCTCATAATCCTTACTTTCTCATTGTGGCTGACTTCATCCACAAACAGGCTTTCCTTGGGAGAACAAAATAGCTGCAGTAGCTCCAGGTCTCATGTTTGAAACCCATGCAATCTATGGACACGAATTGTCTTTCTCCCTACTCACAAAGGGTCTTGACATTCACTCACATTGGCTGACTTCAGTCACCCGTCCACTTCTGAATCAATCACTCTGTCCAGGGGAGGGGGGCTGGGGGCAGAGAAATGGAATGCTGATTGGCTTAAACCAATCACAATCTACCCTTGATGACTGAGGATGGAGTCAATCTCCTGGGAGCACAAGGGATATAAGAGAAGGATGATATGAAAATCAGGTCATATAAGGAAAGAGGGTAAGAGAGGGTGGGTGCTGTGGGCCAGAGTCAGCTGGCCTGCCAAACCCAGCCTGCTATTGTAAATAAAGTTTTATTGGAACACAGCCACAGTCTTTCATCTATATATTGTCTATAGCTGCTTTTGTGGTACAATAACAGGATTAAATAGTTGCAACAGAGACCACACGGCTGCAAAGCCAAAAATGTTTACTAAAGGTTGCAGATCCCTGCATGTAGGAAACATACAATTTCCACTGCAGTCGTATTCAAAACACATTTTCTTCCCTCCTCCCAGTCCTCTGTTGAGAGACATCACGATGAACCAGCAGAGCAGGCATCTCTCGGCAGAAGAATCCTCCCAGGGTCCATTAACTCCTACCCCATTGCCAATGAGTAAACACACAGCCTGTGGAACAACATCAGGCAGAGGACTGGTTTGAGAAGAGATTTTGTGGCTGCTGGAGCGTACAGGCTCTGTCTCCATTACCCATCACGGAACTTCACCATTCAAAGATCAATGACATGCAGCCTAGATGATGCTGGCAAGCCAGGGGCTGTGGATCCCGATTTTTCCTCCGTGATAAATGGGGAGCAATCTCCAGGAGCTCTAGCCTGGAAGACAGCCCTAGTTAAATTACTTTATCGCCCAGCTGAGAGATGGCCAGCTTGGAGGAGATGTACTCAAGCAGCATGCTAACTAGACTCAGCATCAGCACACAGACCCCTCCTCAGAGCAGCACACTCCTCCCTCCTCTTTCCCACCAAAGAGCAGAAGAATTCCACCCTGGCATTGGCTTATGGAAACTGCTCTCCCTGACACTTCCATAGTAAATAAGATCACGGGTCTGTGTAGTTCCCACTCACTTCACATGCACATATCTGAGATCACTGCTTTCAAGCTTGCCAAGTGGCAGAGAACTTGTACATCATGGAGTCCTTGCAGACACTCAAAATGCTGGTATATCATGCTTAAAAGAAACCTCCAGTGCAAAGACTAAGTGCACAGGCATTAGAGATAGGCAGAACAGGATTTAGATCCCAGCTCTGCAACTTACCATGGGCAAGTATCTTAGTTCAGGATCCTTCAGAAACTTACTTTAAGACAAGGGTTTGAGTGCACATAGTTGATTTAGAAAGTGACCTCAGGAAGCACCACAGGGGAGTGGGGAAGAGGAGGAACCAATAAAGGGTGTGTATCAAGGAAGCTATCACTGGAGCTGAATTCTGCTGGAGAACCAATGTTAGACACTGCCTCAATGCTAACTCATCCAAGCAGCAAGGGAGCTGGGGTATTAATACTCCAACTCCCATATGTCATTATTTGAGGGATGCTGCCAGAGGCATTAACCCCTAGGCACTTCTGGCCTACTATGTATGGGGGATCTGGTGGCCAAAGAGAGTCCTTGGGCAAAGAGCTGCCAATGCTAGGAGATGGAAGTCCTGCCCACGGACTCGGAAATGGTAAAACCCAAGGGGGTAGGAGTGGGGCTTGAAGGGGCACCAACAACATATGCTACAGCAAGCAACCTAATCTCTCTAAGACTCAAATTTCCTCATCTACAAAATGTAAATTACTTGTAGCAAATAATATCTAATATCATGGCGTTGCTTTGAAGGGTAAAGTCAATACTGCAAATTAAAATATTCAGCACAGTGTGTGGCACTAGTAAACATCTAATAAATAATAGCTATGTTTACAAAACATCACCTGCAAAATGAAATGTGTAATAAATGCCACGCACATTTTTTAATCAACTCTGAGCCCCCAACCTATGGAATTGGCAAGAAATCAATCTCCCTGTTTTGACCTTAGGTGGTCTTTCCACCTAAGGTCACATTAGAATATGAGAGGTTTAACTTGGGGCCAGGAAATAAAGGATAAACTCTGGCCTTCACTTCCCCATGACCTTACTGTTTATCATCCAACTCTGCAGAATCCATTAAGTTTGGCCACAGGAATGTTTGTGGAGGCTGGAGGGCCCAGTACCCAGGGTCCAGCTTCTTTCAGCGTACCCCAGCCATTCCACACCTCCCCATCCTGACCACCAGTAGGGGTCCAGCCACCTCCCCAGGATCCCATGAGAGAGTGGACTGAGGCATCTGCAGAGCTCCCACCCTTCTGGTGTTGAGGGATCTCCCTCCTCACTCATTGTTTCTGCCTCTTCCCCACTCCTCAAAGCCATTCATCTCCCTATCTTTTGAGCCATAAGCCAGGGGCTGCAAGCTGAAGGGCAAACAGAATGGTTCAAGTTCCCTGAGATTACCGAGTGCCTTCTTGGAACTGGGCTCTATAGCTCCTGGCTGCCAGTATTATCTAGGATGTTTATCACTGATCTTTGAATGGTAACATTCTGTGATGGATAATGGAGTCAGAGCCTATGCACTCCTGCAGCAGCCCCGAAAGCTCTCATCTACCAGTCCTCTGTCTGATGTGAATCCACAGGCTTCATATTTAGGTCATTGGCTATGGAGTAGGTTTTGATGGACCCTGGGAGAATTCTTCTGCCTACAGACAACAGCACTTCTAGTATGTTTCGATGTTCTAACAAGACAGAAGAGGAAAGAGTAAAAGAAACATTTATTGAGTACCACTTGTAGCAGACATTGCATGTCCACCTACCCAGCACTCCTCTTTCCCCTTCTTAACAGTATGCAGTAGAGGAGAATTTATAAAGAACTCCCATCCATTCTGAGTCTTTTCTTGTAACAAAACAAAACACAAATTAATGGTGTTGCAATGAATTATCCTGTCACATAAAAATTTGTGCTAAATCAACTATCATATCAAATTGTAATATAAGCTAGTAGCAAGAGCCAATGATCTAATGAGAAAAGGATGGAAGAAAAAGCCAAAACTATAAATTCTATTCATTCAGGGTTTTGTTAGGGTATTTTTTCTGTGAATTACAAAGAAACACGTTAATTTCTGAAGAGTGTCTGGTATACAGTAAGCAGAGAAGATATTCCATTCTAAAGACACACTCGTGCTTTGAGAAACAGAGTTTATGTTATTTCTCTAGGAGTGGCCAGATGTCTGGCTTTTCAAAATGAACACAAATAGTTCCTTTTCCCAAGGGGATGAGACAGTGACCCAGGAAAATATAACCTTGCCTCATCTCCAGCAAAGGTATCAAATGCATGGAAATTTAACACAGATAATTTGCTGCTATTTGGGGCTTTCACATAGCCCCAAATTTTACCTCAGTAGTTACTATGCAAGACTGAAAGTTTCGGAAACTCAAATCAAACTGATTTAAGCCTAAAGGGGGATTTACTGGCTTGTATAACTTGAAAGTTCAGGTGCAACTTGATCCAAGTGCTCAAAAGACAGAATCAATATTTGGTTCTTCTCTCTTTTTTGTCTCTGTGTT